AATTGAATGGTAACCGTGGGCATTAGATTCATTAAGACGACTCTTATCAACCCCTCCATCTTGTGACCCGTGAGCCCTTTGCTGACAGCATTGGACCTTCTCAGCTGGCTCAATAGGGCGCCGGCATTAGAGATGTTGAAAGGACGTGGCTTTGCAAGGCAACCAGGAGAGGGAGGGTCAGGTTCCGAAGATCGGTAAATGATTTAGAGGGGTTAAGCAGCGAGAGCCAGGGCTCGTACCTTCCTGGCCGAGTTGATCTACTGAATCTGTAGAATATGGCGTCTTTTCCCTGGTGTTTACGGACTTGAAAGTACTGCGAACATCATCAAGCCCATTTCCAATGGGATTGCGCTTGATCTGTTCTGATAATCCGGTCATGGCGGATGGTAAGTGGTTGGTCAGTTAGCGGATGGGGTTTGCGGGCTTCTGCATCTTTGGTCGGCGACGCGGCTGTCGGAAACTTGATATTCCGAAGCCAACAAAAGACACTGCCCAATCAACGGCTTAAGGATGAGCCCCTCTTCATGCTAATCTGATTGGAGGGGTTGCTGGAGAGCCCGGACGATAGCGAAATAAACAGTCAGGGAAGCAATGCTCAGTGTACCCATTGGGCGTGAAGCCAGGGGCCGTATGAATAAGTTGGTGATCATTGACTTTAGGATAGCATCGATCTTCCGCCCCTCAAGGTGCCCAGGCGAAATAGATCCGGCCAAATGCATGTCTTGGTTTGCTTTGCTGGATTGACAAACGCATTGGCAGATTGGTCAGCGTCACTGGGGTACGGGGGTCTCAAGATATGGCAGGCTGGAGAACTACTGTTTGTGCACCGTAGCTCGAGATACGTAGCTGATGCCCCCGGCACTGCCAGCTCTTCGAGCGGAATGTCATGCAGTGCATAGTGAGAGTGCGCGATTGGCCGAGGACCATACGGATGCCGGCACAGACTCCAGCGCAACTTGGCTAGAGGAACTTGCATCTAAAAGCGCGCGCGTACGGCACATTATTGCGAAAGGGGAAGCTTGCGTGAGAAAATACGCATAGTGACACAACGCCTGGCCTGCCCGTCACGTTTGCCGTGATGAGTTATATGGCAGTCCAGCGCCATCAACGAAAACTAAGAACAACACCTGACTGGCTGTTCAATCCTCGCTTGATTCCATCACCGAACTGGGAATCAGCATCTGCCATGACTGCGCCTCTACGCGCCGCGCCTACCGACAGCATCTTTGAGCAACGCGACCCTATGGGGCGCTCGCACACGCTCGATCCTGATGGGGGCGTGGTGCTTGTCCTAGAAAATACGAATCCAGCTTTTGCCCTGTGGGATCAATGCACCACCGCCGGGCTTCAGGAACTTAACCTGTGGTACGATTCGCACTATCCGTGCTCGGAGACAAGGCCAACTGGCAAAGCTGACCATTTTGTACAGCCAGCCTGACAGCGCAACGCATCCTGAAACACGCGCCAGAGGCGAGCACGCAAGACTCACATCAGTCTCGTGGAATTCGATTTCGGCATTAAAGGCAGGACCAAAAGCAGAAGGCAGCTTCAGGAAATTGAGCAAAAAGGACAAGAGAAAGAAGAGGAGGCAAGAAGAGTCTAAGTCTCCAACGGTCGCGAATATAGATCCACTACAGGCCCAGCAGATGACTCTAAGCAACACAACCACACTTATCCCCATCCATTATGCCACTGCCGACCATACTGGAGGTCTGTCATCAGGCTTGAGTCCACAGTCCAGCAAGCAGGATGAATACGGTCGCCGAGTTCGGCAATGACATCTGAATGGTGCTGAATCCCCACGAGCGGAGATCCGTGCATGCAAAACCTTCCATCAGAAGTTGGAGGCTATGGCTTATGCGCATTCAGTGCACAGGCGGTGGCAATGCTAATTCTCCAGGGGAAAGATCCTGGTGGTGGAAAGGTGCAGTCAAGAAGCACAAATGCACGGCTACAGTAGCACACCAATCAAGGACCACTGTTCAAGACCAACTACATAAGAACCTCCCCATGAATCTGATAGCCTTATTCGAGGGAAGGCGCCTCCTTTCGCCACCTCCCGAGACTGTGCTCTCCGTTGACAAAGCAGCCTCGTCAGATTCCCCTCCCCACGCGCAGCTGTGTCTGTTTACGACTACTAGATTTCTTACTGCAATTTACCCTCCCCTAGGCATTAGTAAGAGCCCGATCATCCCTCCTAGGCAAAGGCCGCATGTTAACTTCGTTGATCTTCCAGCCAGTCAGGGCCGGCAGCAGTGTCGCTGGTCTCTTCCCTAAATACCGCAGATCCTTCTTGCTTGATGGTGGACATCAGGGGTGCTGTCAATTGTCTAAGCGCTCTTGCAAGCGTCAAAGCGTCATCCAGGTCATCTTCGTCGCCCTTCTTGGAAATGACAGCTCGTAGAGACTCTAATTTATCCCTGAAGTCTTCATATATCGCACGGGTCGCCGGAGGCATGGACGTTAGATTGGAGGTCTGAGTTTCTTCGACTCCCGGTGATGCGGACGCAGACGCGAAGACAGCTGCATGATGATTGTCGTTGCCGTCCATCTCGAGAACTAACTGTCCCTTTTACGATTAGGCTACCAGGGATTGAATGAGATGACTTTAGAGCTCTGGAATGGTCAAAGACACTCACTGCGCGATCAGTTAGTACTGAGCCTTGTGTTTGGTCACAAATCCGCGCACTCACCATAAGCATGGATCATGCCCCTAAATTTCGGACCAATATAGCGCGACCCGAGGTTGATCAGTGACAAAACAAGTGACCAGAGGGAGCGCAGGTAATACAGAGGTTGATGGATGATAGTTTTGCCGATTTCGATGCTCTGCTAACTGGTTCTCTTCCCGATTTCTGCCGTCTTTGTTAGCAGGTCTGCCAGGCACCCCTACACTGAAGGGCATCGACGTCATCGCTCGGAACATCTCCCGGTCTTCGGGCCATGGCGCTCTGGGCAACGTGAACAGCTGACCATGCAGTGCTATGTATGCTTGAATCTTTTGATGGTAACAATCTTGTCTCTTGAGGAAATTTTCGGAGGCATTTCGAGAGCCCTTTCGTTACGCACCGAGCCATGATGCTTGGCGTCAACGGCCGTTCTCTGCCAAGAGTGGCGCTAGGGAAAGTAGCAAATGGGCGTGTACTGTAGCCACATGCAACACCCATCATCTCAGACTAGCCAATGTTTCGAGTTCTGTGTCAATGTTGCCACGTGGTTGTGTCGATTAGGTCAGTGGTCGGTGGTCGCAAGCGGGTGCCGACAAGTCACCCCTCAACGGATGAACGTGTGGCAGATAGCTGGCTTCAAAAAAATGCCCTGCTCATCCAACGGGGACCTGTAGAAGTGGTGCAAATGGAAATGAAATACGGATGTAGGTACGAGGTTTCCCAGTAACAGTTCCATCGGAGGCGGCAAGCACACTGTCGGTGGTCGCAAGGGCCCATCAACTACCAGATCTTGCAACAGGCAACTTCCAACACGTGGCGGTGGCCACACCCGGCACCCATTCGCTTTCATATCTCTGCATTGCATTGGTCGTTGTAGGATACATTACCAACCAACCACAGGAGGAGATGGTAGACCCTGAAAGTCTCAGCTCTCGATCCATGATAGGTCGTGCACTGGGTTGGGGTTTATGATAGTAAGCGTCAAACTTGCGAGCTTCGAATGAGCAAACGGCCGTAGTTGCCCTCCAGTGGGTGCGATCTGGACCAGGCCCAGAATATGCGACGAGGTTGTGGATGCAGCGACATATGAAGCTAGCATTTACTCCGGGAGCACCCGGCCGGAGCATGTTTTGGACGTGACCTTTCCCGACGCCTTTTTCGGCGTGGCTCCTGCGTTCTTGAGGTCCCATATCGGCGAAGCCAGCAGACTTTCCCCTTGGCTTTCAGCGAGCTTTCTTTGAGCGACCGTCAGCTTTTACCGAGCGGGGCCTACATCCGCCGACAATACGGCCGTGGAGCTGTTTGCTCCTGTCACACATGAGCAGCATCAGCTTTCAGCAAGCAGTGCGCCCCCGCATTGACTTTAGTAGGCTGAAGCGTGAACCAACAGCCGAGAGAGTCACTTTGTCATGTACTGTACTTAGTGTGTACCTATCAAAAACTTGGATAGTACGGGAATGGGGTTGAACGCAACTGGCAATACATCGATTGAATTTGTTTGGGAAGGCTACCGAGCGTACGTCAAACACTCTTCCAACTGAGCGCGTCTTGACTGCAACCTATCCCGACGCAGGAGACACAATCATGTCTTGCAGTGCGCGTAACCTCAGCTTGAATACAGGCTTGACCCACCGCAAGCACCAAGATGAGCCGGACCACCGGGCGCGGGCCTTCAGCTTGATCTTCAGAACACCTCCACTCAAAAGCGCTGATATTTGGTACGGCAAGAATGTGGGATCCCGTACGATGAAAGAGCATCGCTAGTGATGACTGGAGGCTGAAGCTGATTATCAGGATACACCACTGCCTCCCTTGCATTCCGAGTCGTTCAGCGATTTTCCTCAGGTCTCTGGCACCAATCTAGAAATGCCTTAATTCGACGACAAAACGGAGATATGTCGTGAGTGTTGTTGTGGTTTCGCACGACCCAACCCTTAATCCAAGAAGCCAGGTCCACGGCTTCGGGATCGGAGTGGTGCCGGGCGGCTGCTGAGTATTGTGACGCAAGGTCTTTGTTCCTTTCCTGAGGCAGATACTTCACAAGGGCTTCGAGAATCGTCGTCAGGTCTGCCGAGCTTGGCACTCTCTGCTCAGGATCCGATACCGATGCTGCCATCAAGAGAGCAAGCGCTTTCGCGCCGTCTTCGTTTTTGACAAATGCGATTAAAGCGGCCGCAAAGTTGAGAAAACGACATCCGTCAGGAGTCGACGATATGACTGCGAAGCTTGTCTTCAGAGCATCCGAGTTTGCAATGGATACATCGATTTCCCAGAGTATCGGTATGCCATCTGTGGCTACAGTGCAGCCAAAACCCTGACACGCGAGGAGTGCTTCAGCATGAACATCGTCATTGGCCGCAGCGTACAACCAGCAGAGCTCAACCTGAGGCGGATAGTCCCATTGGCCCTTGGCCGCGTAGGTCGACATTTCGAAGTTGGGCGAGCACGAACGAACTCGATCCAGTGGAGGAGATGCGTCGGAGATCACAAGGGAACAAGGCGTTTTATGGAAGTTGGCTGCCTCAAGAAGAGAGCGGGAAAATTGTAGAGCGGAGACGTCTGGCTGGGCTGGCAATGGTGGGCTTGGCTGACTTCAACCTTGACACAGTGTGCTTTCCAGCATCACTCACGGCTGCTCGGTGATAGCGCCGTTAGCTGGTGATTGTTGTTCGGAACATCTCAGGTGTCTCCAGGCTATGTCACGCAACCCCTGCCTTGTGCGGGCGGTGCCGGTCAGCGACGCAGCAGTGGCACGAGGGAACTCGCTGGTGGAGTGTGTTGGACCAACTACCTTAGTAATGAGATTTGCCAGGTCGGTGAACTAGCTATGGTCCACCAACCCCCGTATCTAATTCGGATCCTCCGCTTCGATGCTCTGCCACGTCTGTTCTTGGCAACCCCTTGCCAAGCTCCAGCGCGTGGTACAATATTGGGAATGTGAGCAATTCCTACAGGGGTCAGCGAAAAGGGATTCATCTCATATTCAACACACTTCTCTCTTTCCGCACGGACGTTTGATATCTTGGCACCAACACAGTCTGGCTTAGTACGGGAGTACTTAGCCCAGAAAAACCTTAAGTTGACAGGGGTGCTCCATCCATGGTTTGGGGCAGACATTGGCTTCGGTGTCATCACCAGCAGGGGTTCTAAGTGGGTTGGAAAGCCGATTCTGGATTACCCAACCTCTGTTACTGGAGATGGAGAGCTTGCCCAAGTGTTTGGCATGTAAATCTGTGAGCCAGGGTTTAATATACACTGTGTAAGCATCAAAAACGGTTTATGTGTCTGTGCGGAAAGAGATCAGAGAGTTGAAGAAGGTGAAGGCCTTTTCGCGGACTCCTGTACCGCCGATATTCTGCCGTGTGGCCAGGGCGTACACGAACTGAAGAAAGCTCTCGCGTAGCTTCTCTGACCCAGGCCGATTGGTGAGGCGTGTAGCACCCTGCTGCGAAGACCAGGGACCTCACTGGACCCCGCCGGGGTTTACAGTAGAATTCGAATTTGGTTTCCGTCCTTGTAGATAGGAATTATTCCGTGCACAGACATATGTGGATCTCCTAATTGACGGGATACACACCGAGACCCAACAAGTACCTTCATCGATGACCTTCACAGTAACGCCAGAATCGCTTTTTTACTGTATTCTAATTTTAGCCCAATGTTGCATACTGTCGAGACTGCACTTACTGTCACCATTTGTGGATGTTGGATAATGCAACATGGGTGTAATCCACGAACACAGTGTAGAAGCAATTTCTGACTTCGGCTATGGGGGTCATCAAAAAGGTACCGTCGGAGCGTTGTCATGTACCCTGTCAGCAAACGGATCCACAAACATATGTGCGCAGAAGAGTTTTTCTTCATGGACAAGGAAACCGATTTCGATATCTACTGTACGTTCAGCCAACGAGACAAAAGTTCGCGCGGAAGATAGTATCGTGGCTAGGGGAGTGGTAGAAGCGGGAAGCGGGGCCGGGGTCTCACCACGGGCTGTAAGTTACCACAGCGTGCACGCCCGATTGAAGCGGCTGTCGTGCCTTGGTGGCAAGACTGTATGGAGAGCCGTCACCAAGAAGCTATTGTACTGAGCAAAGAGAAGAATTGTACGGCCTAGAGGTTTGAAGGCGATGCACAATCACCGGAGATACAATAAGTACAGTAGATATCGATTTTGGCTTCCGTCCTTGCGGGCAGAAATTGATCTGTGCACAGACATATATGGTCCCGTTTGCTGACAGGATACATACTGATCAAGTACATTCATCGATGACCTCCACAGTAAGGCCAGAATCGCTTCTTTACTGAGGTTTTCTTTTTGACCTATGTTGCATACTGTACAGTTTTGTGCACATGTCGCTTCCTCTCTCACAAACATTCTCAATGTTCGAGAAGCCGAAACCTGCTGTGATGGGTCTCCACAAACCTCTGGTCATGGCTATAGCAACTGGTTTGCGAACAAAAATGTGGGTCAGGATGGCGAACGACAGTGCGAGTGGCAACGCGTAATCAAGAGCTACTCCAAAGCATCAATAACCGGCTTTCACAGCATTCATTCTCGCACATCTGATCGTGGTCGCATGTACACAGTAAGAACGACTATGGGCCCAGCCTGTGTGGATCAAGTCCAAAAAGATGAAGTGTGTTGCCAAGAGGAAGCAACATATGATCAATACTATAGAGACTACACTTGCCATCGCTGTTTGTGGACAACATGGGTCTATTCCATGGACACAGTGTAAATGCAATTCCTGACTCCGGCTATGGGGGCCATCAAGCAGGTACCGTCAGGGCATTGTCGTGTGCTCTGTTGGCAGACGGATTCACAAACATCTGTGCGCGGATCAATTTATGCCCGCAGAGAAGGAAACCGATCTGTATCCGATTTAGGAGGCAAGGATATCAACGATGGTGGAGAACATGTAGATAATCATGCGAGCCCTGAATAGCTTAGCCGGGGCGTAATAAACTATGTATGTATCCGATTTGGACACGAAAGCCATGACCCAATGAGGAAGCCACGGTGTTCATCCGTTCCTGGCGCAAGCCATTTCTGGAGTGTTCAGTTCTGATCCCCGGTATCTTTTGCGAGGTCCGATTGCTCCCTACCGTCAAGACAAGCCCGTGCGCTCAGAGACTTGACAGAGTCTGATTGAACAAGCCATGCTTTTTGCACGTTGCTGCTATAGGTGTTTGTCGATTCACCTACGGGTATCTTGATGGTAGTCAGAAGCCAAAATCTGCACCATGGAAAAAAGCAGCATAAGCAGGCCCTCACCGTGGGTCTGTCTTCTAGGTCACTGTGGTCTTTCATGAAGGAGCACAAAGTCTGCATTTTCCGAGATACATAGTCCACAGAAGAATGACCTCACCATTTTCTGAATCTTGCAGCCAAGAGCTTCCGTTAGCATTGGTTGCCTCAAGGGGAGTCTAGTTTTGCCGAATAGCCTTTTTGGATTCAGTACCTGGCCATGGCCATTGTGGCCATTAAGCGTGAAACGGCCATCTGTCTTGTGGATTCTGCTAAGCCGACGCCCTTCATCCAATGGTTGCTAGATGCACTTCAACTTGATTAGATGGCGAACAGTACAGCACTGGACCATGTACAGTAAGCGTCAAGAATTCGATGTCCTTGTGGAAAGAGATGCAAGAATCGTCGACAGGATGAAGCCCTTCTCGTTGATTGCTGTAATATGTAGTACAGAAGAGTCGCCGGGTGCCCGCTGACGAAAACGGAGGCTGGGGACAAAACATCGCTACTGACACGGATGGCGCAAGAATAACGGTCGGCACTGTGCGAAGCACCCACGAAACGTGGTCGCGACTATCGTGACCGCTAGACACTGCGTGCAGGTCAGGGCAATCTTTTCGGTAGCTTGAGGAGTGACCGCCAACGCGTGCATCTTGACGCACACGGCATGATAGGCTGTGGTGAAGTTTCGTACGATACGTGGCGCCGACCGAAACACGGGCACGTCTGAATTTATCGATAGGGTCCTATCAGCAACGCGCTCCAAACTTCGCTTGCTGGATAATCGTGTAGCAGCAGCGCGCAGATCCTGCATACCTGCCGGCAGAAGGTGATGCCGCCGTCCACCCTCAGCAGCGGGAACGCAAGCGAAAGAAATCGAGTAGCTGGGAGAATCACAACCTATGTCTAGGCCGCAGAAGAATTCCACCACAAGGCGCGTACCAACCGAGCGGACGACGTGAGCACGG